GGGTCACAGGCGATGCTACTGACTCTGGCTGGGTTGCTACTGCCTCGAGTGAGAAGCCATCTATCTACACCGTCATTAGCAAGACCAGTGCTCGCGGAGCCAGGGCATGCAGCACTAGGGCTCTGAGCAACGCTGCGCTCTGGAGGGTCTGGGTAGGGTCTGTGTTTTACAAGCAATGGGATAAACTCCGTGATTTCTCTGAATCTGTGGGGAAATATCACCGAGAACGTGATTAGCTCCATCCTTTCACCTACGCCGTGGGAAGCTCTGTGAAAAAGGGAGGTGACCCTGATTAGCTGAAAATGCAAATGCCCCTCTCTGTTTTAAAGCAGTCGGTCTACACGTTGCTCAGCGTCCTTCAATCCCCCCGAGGCCGTGCCTTACATGTGAGAATAGGATGGGGAAACATGTCAGGGCCACGTCAATCTTGTCAGCAACGAGGATGCAATAAAGAAGGCTCAACGACGCAGCGGAAGCACAGGAGGTACCTACAGACTCTGCACCCTGGCAGGACCCGTCCTCGCCAGCCGTGTGAAGCCAGCACACGCACGCTAACACGCAGTCATCCCACTTCGCTACGCAGGATTGATAGGGGAGAGCTCGCAGGAGTTTGAGAAGTCAAAGCAAAGCTGTTGGGTGTTTGGGTCAGGGTTTTTGCGATGTACTTCGCCAGGAGCTCAAATGGTCAGAAAGGAAGAAGTTAGCAGGAAAACGCAGTGACTCAGAGGGCCAAAGCAGTTTATACTGGCTGATGATTTAACCCCTGCTGGGTTTGCATAGCTGGGTGTTTATGGCCAGATTTCATGACAGCATCCTTCTAAGCTCAGGGCTAGGGGTGACTGCGATCGAATCTACGTTCCCTCCTTCCGCAAGTCCCCGACCACCAGGCCAATGACTCGTCCGGGCCGAGGGCAGCTGCTTTTGGTGAAGCTGTGGCACAGTGCAGAGGAGAATACACAGGACAGAGAGCAGGGCATGAAGGAGCTGGCTGGCAGCACGGGTCTGAGGAGCTCTCCTGGGGTGGGAAACCCTCCTGCCTAGCACAAAGGTCACTTCTTTAAATTTGAACTGACATTTCGTTTTCCAAAATCGAAACGCTAGTGGGAAACGGTGCTTTAAGAATGGGGTCTCCTTCCCGGGCACTGGAACCTCATATCCCCCTGACACCCTGGGCTGACAGCTTCTAGGAACATGAGCAAAAATCCCTCACGGCTACGTGCTGTCCTGCATGGGGACAGATGGGGGCAAAGCTGGGGATCGGAAAAGTAACCGAACGTTTCTGAAAGCTGCAAACGCTAATCGTTGGTGGGGAGGTTAAAAGTGGCCAGCAGAACAGAAGCCCTTGATGGACAGAGGCACTGAAGGAGCCCTCTGTCCTCAGATGCTTCGAAATGGAAAAAGTACCCTGGATAATCCTGTGTCGGTGATGAGGACGGACTAGAGATCCACACAGGATCTGTTTTCAAGGAGCCTTTGGACTTGTTTCCACCACTTTAGTCAAAACCGAGCACAGTTTTGGAAGGGCTATCTCGACGCTATCTCAACGCTGCAGTGTCAGTGCAGGCAGCAAAGGTCCTCAGCGGCACCTGCTCAAAGCTGCAGTGTCAGTGCAGGCAGCAAAGGTCCTCAGCGGCACCTGGACTTCTCTGCAGAACAGCTGCACACTTGACTGGCTGTAGTTTAAAAAGGGCTGGGGGGTTTTTTGTTGTTTTTGTAAGTCAAGGCAAATAAATTTCTCTGTTACTTTACTATTTCTAGGAGACACCACACTGAGTTCTATTCCCAGTTAGCACACTGACATTGAAAGAGGCTAAAGGGCAGTAACCAGGAGGCAAAACCTTGAACAATCAATGCAAAAAGAAAGAAAACCAAACCAACAAACAGCCCTTCTCTCTACCTGTTGGTAAGGTGCAGAGCCAACACTACCCATTTAGTTTATGTCTACTGGACTTAAAGCAGGCCAAAAATTGGTTTGATGCTGTCTTAAGGCAACTGGTCTAAAATCATTACATTTTTCCCAATCCAGTAAGTAGTGCAAATCCTAATCTATTGCTGAAACCTGACCTTGCGCATCATTAAATCGATTTGGAAGGAAGCCTGGCACGGCACGCGTGCACGCATTTCAGTGCAGACGTGGGCGTTAGCGAGGGGGCTGCTTCCAGACTTGTGCCCCCTTCACTTTGGGATCAAAAACTTCTCAAAACGCTGAGAGTTGTGTTCTCTCTTAAATACCTGGCTAAAGTTTCCGTTAGTTTAAAAAGCAGAGTTTTAAGGTTTCTCCTCCTGCTGCCAGCTGATCCCTCAGCATCTCTCCCCCGCCGCAGCCAGCCGTAGTTTAGATGCTCCCTTTGCAGACGCGCGCCAGCCAGCTCCAGAGTGATGCTTCTGGGAGGTGTGGTACAACAGCGCATCACATAAGCGGCAGTTTATACTATTTGAAAAATGTTTTTCTGCTTCAGCTCTAACAAAGTTGATTGCATTTTCCATCTCACTTCCTTCACGGCTTTTCTCTCTTCCTTAAGTATTCTGTGACAGGGAAATTACCATGGTTTCCCACTTAAGAGGTGGAGGGAACAACGGAGATAATCTAGAAACAAGCCTGTAATAGGCATCCACTGACACGGAGCAGGGCTCTCGACATCGCAGGTCGAGCTGCTGAGCCGTCCAGCCCTGCTGTAGCCACAGAGACCTGTCCTGCAACGTCCATAAATTTCAATGAATAAATAGTTCAGCTGAATGCAGTGGAAGTATTGCTACTCCTGAAGGGCTTCGCTGCCTTCCAGGTATAACTGACGCTCCAAAAGCAGTTTAAAGCCCCTCCCAACGCTACCGTCGTGCTGTGGGAGGCTGTGTGGGGTGGGCTCACCCCTCTGCCTGCTGCCAGCCCCAAGGGCTGCGCCTCAGCAGCACAGCCCCAGGGGCCTGCCAAGGTCTTTGGCAATGTATGAAAAAAGCATATGGAAAGACTCAAAAAATCAGTCACTAAAAGCCAGCTCTCCAGAATTTCCTCCTACCTCCCTCTTCTGAGCAATGCCACCACCTCCCTGCTCCGGCTGCCTCGTGCCTCTCTCAGGGCCTTGGGCACAACGCAAACCACCAAGTAAGAAAACAAAGAGCTTTCAGCAAAACATTCCGTGCCGGTACTTAATTTCATGAATCTGAGACTGGGCTATGATTACCACGATGCAGGCCAAAAGAAACAGAGCTGCTCATTTAATGACCCTATTTGTTGTTTTTCAGATTTCACGCCCTAAGTCAAACAACCGAGTTTCGCTTAACTTGGTGCTCGGGGTCTGACTGAGCTGCTGTCTGACTCGAGGACTTCGTCCCACAGAAAGAACTGCCAGGGTGGTAGCGTAAGCTCCTTCTTCATAATGGAAACGGTGACTGGTGTCTTAGGAGCTAATTAGTTTGAGAGTCAGAGAAGTCTAAGACAATAGCCCCTCCTTTTTCATCTCAGAGAGAAAGAGAGAGAAAGTGAAAGAGAGAAAACAAGAGAGCAACTGCTGTGTAAGAAGTCCGTACCGTTAAGCATACGATATTTGTCAGGATGCAAGTCCAGTGATTTAAGTGGGAATACTGGTAGGCATGCTCAGGCACCTCTGAACTGTGTCACTTAATGAACAGTACAATTATTAATTAATTAATACCTTAATTAATTAATACTTTAATTAAATGAACAGCAAATAACAATTTAAACTGGTTTTGTCATGGCCATCATGCAAGTCAGATTCTCTCATTTTCCAGTTGCTTCCAACCATCTCCGTGGTTGCTTCCGTGCTGGGGGACAAGCATGCTGGCGTGAGGGGTGAGTCTGCAAAACCCCGCTAGTGACAGCGGCTGCCATCGCCTGAACCCCACGCACGCCGGGCAAGATACGTGTCCCTGGGCCCCTCTTTGGGCGTGCGCATACTTTGAGCTTAGAAAATCGGGCCAGGAGAGTTTTTAGAGAACATCTTAGAAGACAACATAGGAAGTTAGTAGAGAGGAGAAGACCAATGACAATGGAGAGACACAGCAAACCAAGGAGTTTACAGCTGGCCTAGCAAACCACTACTGGACCAGCAAAGCCAGTAGACAACACACAGGTAAGGCAGAAAGCAAAGAGCTCCTTCGACTTTCCCAAAACACAACCCAGTGCCTGTACGGAGCGGGGACGAATCTGCCTGGGACGGACTATAGCCGAGAAGTGAGGAGTTCTCCCAAAACCCAGTTCTAGGCCCAGTTGTGCCATGGTACTTTGGTAACGAACCGATACGTCTGTGACTTTGTGAAGCTTTGGAAAACTTGGAAAAACGACCTCTCTCTGACTTTCCCTCCGTATTTAGCATTTCAAAACCTGTAGCTGCAAGAGTTATTGCGAGAAATAATTAACACTGGCTGTTTCGCCAGTTGAGGCTCTCTTTAATATCTAGCATGGCATTTAGTTGGCTGTAGCTTGCCTGGGTGGGGAAATGAATCTGACATTAGAGAGATATAACGTCTTTACTAAGATACTTTATTTCCTAGAGCTGATGCTACTGTGCTGTCCTTAAAAAGTTACAGGTAGCCCCAGGAAACACGAGTGTCCCCTTTCCAAGAGCAGGAAAGGGGTAGATCCCTCGCCATCGCCAGTGTTTTTGCCATCTTTCTTCCTTGCTAATGGGAGACTTTGGGAATTATCAGAACCCCTAACACACCTCCGCACTCACTCCCATTGCAGCCTGAGATAAGCAGCTGAGATCGATTTCTGCCCCCAGGGACAGCTTCTGGACATCAGACTGGAGACACAAGATCAAATTCATCTCTGGTGAAATTCCACTGGCTTCAACCACATTAAACCAGAGATTAATTTGGCCCACAGGTACATTAAGAAAGGATACAAAGCACAAATGGTATTTGATAAAAAAAGAGAAAGGGGAGGGGGAAGTTCAAGGGGGACACTGGATCCTAGCCCAGCAGGATTCAGCCCAGCCCGCTCCACCCTCACATCACCAGGCACAGTGCGTGTTGCCGGTTACCTTTTTGCTTACTGACTTTCTTTACTGTCATTGCCGCTTGCCGCTTTTGATTTTCAGAAATTTCAAAGCCTGGAAAAGGGAACACGGCAAACACAATTCAGAAGATTGCTTACAAAGCCTCTCGCTCATCTAGGGAAGGGGGGATGTTCTGCACTGTTTGGCAAACACAGAACGCCCTGGGTGGCAAAGCATCACCCAGCGAGCTGTGCGTACAGGCAGGTATTTTACTGAAAAGCAAATCTTCCTGGGAAGGGCAGGCCTCTCTATAATCTCACTTGTGCAGGGGCTGTATGAAAAGTAAGATTAGACCCATTATTATTTATACAGGATCATAAATACGCCCAGTGCTTTACAGCTGAGCAGCACAAACTGAGCCTGAACTGACGTCGGTCACGGTCAATTCATGGGCTGAAGCGGAGGGCAGGGCACGGCTGACAAGTCATCGCCTTCGCTGCCCTCCTCCCCGCACGAGATAGGCTTAACCAGAGCAGAAGTGATGCAGCCAGGAGACTCTGAAGTCAGATGGCCAAAGAATTCCGTCTCCCACAACACCCATGGAGGTCCAGGCTTGAAGCTATGGGCAGAATTTGTTTATTGAGGGCCAAAAATACCAGTAACTGAATTGGAAAGAGACCTATTTATGACTATGAGAGCAACCAAGGACATCTGAAAAAGGCTGAATTGTATTTCCACTACAAAAAAAATGTGAGCTTCTCCAACAGTTGGGGCTAAATCAAGCATTACCAACAATCTCCCTTCAGATTTATTTTGTATTCCTCACCTATCTTTTCATCTTCTTTTACCATCTTCCGTTCTTCTCTGAACGCTCTAAGCCATCGTAACTTCTCCTCCAGTTTCTTGGCAAAGAATAAGTGCATTTCCTCAGTCTCCTTGTTATGAAGTTTGAAGGCATTCTTCATGCTGACATTGAAGTCATCATCTCTCCCATCTTCTATGTCCACCACTTCGTATTTATCCATGTCTATGCGACCTTTGTAATACAGAATATCTCTTCGTATCAGATCCTACAGAGAGAAAAGAAGAGATGAGTTGATCGTAAGATACTTACAGAGCCCGAACTCAGCAGAGAATTCCTGGGAGGTCTGAAGGAAAGAAAGAAGTGGTGAAACCTGGTCAGATTCTTCAGGCCTCATCTGCTGTGAAGACATTTGTCGCTGGCTAAACAAATAGGGTAGGTCATAGGCATAGAAGAACGAAATACAAATCCTCATGCTGCAGAATTTTGCTTCGAGGCATGAAGAAATGCCTTTGAGTAGGTAACATACTTCCATCATTTTTCATGATGGGAAGTTCTGTTCCGTAGGATGAGAAACTGGAAAACACGGGCCACTGGCCTGACGGGATCCCTGTGCTGCAAACCAGGCTGTGCAGAAGCGTCTGTCCTGAGGAATCAGCTCGGGCGCGTTTGGCAGTGCAGACTGGAGAGCGCCCATCTCTCTTTTCCAAACACATTTTCAGAGTCGGGGAGATGGGTCTCTGCCCCTTCGCCCTGGAACGCATTTCCCATTCATACACAACTCATTGGCGAGACAACGATCACCCTGATTCTCAGCTCAAAGAACTCCTAACCTTTCTCCCTCCCATTACGCCCTGGTTTTAACCTCTTGATCCAGCTTAAATTTTTTCTTTTTCCCTCCTTGATGTTCACAACCTTTACAACCAAACCTGTCCAGCCTCATCTCCTTTCTACGCTGATTATTCCTGCCCCTTGTTTTTCAGCAACAGCTCATATCTCTGCATTGAGCAGGGAAAAGTAAACTAGCCTTCATTATTAATTTTTCAGAACCCATAGGAGAACACCCATGGCTCGGCCTGCCCCCCCCCCCCTGCCACACCACGGCCGGCACGTAGTCACGGCAGCTGGGAGACGGCGGTAGGTGGAGGTGGCACCAAAGAAAGCCTTCTGACATCTGTTGTGTCAACTGCTCAGTCACAGACGTGAGGTTGTGGATGCTGATGAACGGCAGCAAAAACCAGATAATTTCCTGTTTTCCTCCTTACCCCCTTCACTTATTTCAGCTTTGCCCATCAAATTTTGTACTGCCTTTACTAGACCTGTTCCTGATTTATCCTGGTGTAAGAGGAGCATTGGCCCCACATCTCTATGTCTTTATAGGAATAGATAACAAAAAATATCATCAGAAAATAGAATGTTAATTATACAGTCATGACCACATACGGTGATTCAAGTTATGAGGCATACAATATTTAAAAAGCCATATTTAGAAACACATAATCAAGATTTCCTTCCTCTAGCCACTCTCAAAAGCCAATATTCAGGTGTATTAAATTAACTTAAAATACTTTTTGCGACTGCCCTAAAGATAAATGCTATGTCAAAGGATTCATTTAAGAGGAAAAATACAATCAATTTACATCATTTATTTACTCAAATAAGACTTAGTAGCAAGGGGTTTTTTTTAAAGATAAGCAGTAGGTATTATTTTAAAGAAATCACTAATCTCGCAAAACAAACTGTACATCATAATTTGTTAGCAGACTTGCTGATGGATATGCCAGACAGCATTAACAATCTTGAGACAGGGCACTGCCCAGAGGCTCCTAGTCTTTAAAACCTGGCTCCCTCCTCTGGAGTGCTCTAGGAGGCGAAAAAATCCACTAACCAATATATCGTACAAATACCTTCCTCTAGTATGTAGGCTTGGAGTAACGATGCTGTCCAAAACATAAGAAAATTATATTTCAGGCTGAATATGCAACAGAGAATCTTTTCTGTTTTGTCCTACCTTGGACGATCGCTTCCTTCCTCCCCCTCTGGGCCCAGTGGAGTGCTGAGAAAAGGCTGCAAGCATCACGCTGAACTCGTTCAATTAAATCAATACTGTGCACTGTGTTTAAATTTGAGTCTTGGAGCAGTTCTCAGAAATAGCATTTATCTTCACCACGTTCTCAAAACAACCTGCTCTCAGCTCTCACAGGAAGAGAGATGTGCTCCTTAACAGCTGTGCCAGCACCCATCCTCCTCCCTCCAGAGGACCGGCTCGCCGCTGCCGAGAACCTCCAGACCCCAGCACTGAGCAGGGTGTCCTTGTGAGCGAGAGGGGAGAAGTGGGCTCCAGCGTCCTTTTCTACGCAATATTCATGATTATGTATAGATTTATTTACAGGAGGTATTACAAGAACAAATAATCACAATCCTCCTTCTCACCTGGCTCTGGAAGTACAAGGCTCCGGGCAGTAGCTTTTTTCTTACACATACTAAATAGGTTTTCTCCTCTCTTATCTCTCCAATTTTTATTATGAAAAATTGTAAGCTATTTTCAATCACTCAGCGAACGCATTAACAGCTTAGTGCTGTCGCTGTACTCCCAGAGGAGAGCCCGCCGGGTTGGGAGGTGCCTGCCCGCCCGGGGCCGCAGCAGGAACGCTCGCTGCCTCCCGCGCGGCCCGGAGGCTCCCGGCCTTCGCAGGCGTCGCCGAGCACTGGGGGTGAAGGCAGCTGCCTTGCCTAGGAGTTGCTGAAGGAGCAACGAGGAGATCAGGCAATCGCACAGGCGCTTTTGGAAATAAAACGGCCCCGCAGAATATTATTGTTGGCGAGAGACGCAACAGCGGGCAAGAACAAGCTCGGCTATCGAGGCTGCTTGCAGAAAACCCACCAGGAAGAAACGCCGCGGTTTTGTCCTTGAGGGCTGAGCAAGCCCATGGGCGAAGGAGGGAAGGACGCTGAGGGCAAAGCTCCTGCCTGCTGCTTTTACTTTCGTTTTGAGAAGAAACTTCAGCAAGAAATCTGTAAGGAAGGAACCCTGCTTTCTCCCATCGCCCTCCGCAGAGCCTGGAGCTTGGCAGGAACCTTCTGGGGGAGAACCAGCCCCTGGAGCTGGGGAGGCTCAGGGAAAGGGGCTGACACAGAGGGGGACGAAACCACTCAGAGAGGCACAGAAACGGCAAAGAGCTCAGAGTGACCCAGCCCGATATCACAGAATCACAGAATGGTCGGGGTTGGCAGGGACCTCTGTGGGTCACGCAGTCCAACCCCCTGCCCAAGCAGGGTCACCCAGAGCAGGCTGCACAGCACCGCGTCCAGCCGGGGCTGGAATATCTCCAGAGAAGGAGACTCCACAGCCTCCCTGGGCGGCCTGGGCCAGGGCTCCGTCACCCTCAACATCAGCCGGGCGCAGGGCGCTGCCCCGTGCCAGCGCTGCTTCCGCAGCAGAAGGACCATTCCCCGCGCTGGCAGCCCCGCCAGCACTGGTACCCCGAGTTTTTCAGAGACCCTTGAGTTCTGAGAGTGGTGAAGCACACAAACACCTCCGTGAACAGCACGTGCCTGCACGCGGATGGCACCTTCCACACCCCTGGTTCTGAGGAAGCTCAGCCCACGTGGCAGGTTCATAACTGTAAGCGGATAATCTCAGTTTTAACGGATCAGGCAGTTCCTGCTACCACTTCTTTCTTCCCCTCTTCTTGCCAACACTCAATAAATGGATATTACTCACTAACTGACTAAATTTTAACACCCATAGTACGGGAAACATAATAATTATTCGATCCATGGATATTTTATCACATACGTTCCTACAGCTCTTGAAGAATAACGTGCATTACTTCACTCCTTAGCGAAGCACGGGGAAAGGCACTTGGCTTACACTGTAATTGATATCAACAAAACTCAAGAATTCATCCGGGCTACACGAGGCATGTTCAGCAAACCAGGCCGAACACCTGGTTTAAGGAGCTTTTTCTGCACGTGGACAAGAGAATAAAACTTCCGGGGAGGCGCAGGCAACGAAAGCCGTGCTGCTTTGCCGGAAAGCTGCAGCGGTGCGGAGAAAGGAACCCAGTTGTCCCCTGCACCGTCTGTGAGCGCAGGGCTATCCGGCCTTCGCTCCAGCACCTAAGCTGACTCCAACAAGCACACACAGGATAAAGGGAAGCACACGTGTGGCTGAGGGTGAAAATGGGTTGTTGAAACAGACTCGTTTAAGTACCGTGTGTTGGAAGGACGAAGCAAATGTGTCTCCACAAATGGAGATTTATCAGCTCTGTTAGCAGCCACGCTGCCGAAAGAAGCTCCGGCTTAGGGGAGGGCTGAAACGGCAGCTGGGACAGGCTGCTGCTGTTACGCCTGATTATTGCAGGGATAACATACAGGAGAATTAGAGAGGAATTATTCAGCTACAGAATTTACCCTCATTTACGTGCTGGCTATATGAGTATAGCATTTTATCCTGTCCGTAGTTAAGCCAGGATGACAGCTAGCCCGTTTACACTGCCCAGTTTTGAATGGCACACAAAACTATTTTCTGTAGTTAATTCAGATAAGAGCAAGAAAATATAAAAAGACAAAAAAAAGACTCTCAAAACCTGACCAGTGGGGAAAGGCCAAAGAAATGGAGTTGTTAATCTAGAAAGTACATGAGTAAAAAGGAACGCACTATTGGTATTCCAAGATGTGAAAGGTGCTTTTCTTCTAAGGAGGCTGGTGATCAATTATTCTCCATTTTGATCGTGGCTTGGCTTAATTTACCACAAGGGAGAACAGGATTAGATACTGGGAAAAAAGTCTTTCTAGCTCTAAGACTGGTTAAACATAGAAGGGATGAAACAGGGAAGTCTTGGGACAGCGTTCCTTGGACATTTTTGAAAAGCAGGTCAGACAAACATCCGTCAGAACTGATCTGAGTACACTTCATCCCGCGAAGGGAACGGCGAATGCCCTGGGGCCCTCCCCAGCTCTGCGTTTTGGGGATGCCTGAGGACCGGTGACAGGCGGAGGAGGAAAGGGGCCAGGAGCAGGCAGGACCAGCACGGGCTCCAGGGCCGGGACAGCAAGCACGAGGAGCAGCGGCACACACCCGCGGTCTCGGCAGACAGCACCCAGGTTGCGCTGCATGGCTCTTCGGGACATTCATGCATCCAGGTCATTTGCACTTATTTGTCTAAATATGAGGTTTTTTACCCTCCAGCTTCTATGATTTCCTTTTCTTTCCCGAGCTGAGGTTCATTAAGCTCCTCTGGATAATGCTCTGCAGTTGGTTCA